GCCCTTCCACTCCAAAATCATTAGTTTTCGTTTCACGGGAAGTTTGTTCATGTCTTCAAAACCACATTTTATCAGCTATTAGTCACAGCAAAAGAATTGGGTAATGTCTTTCTATTTTTTCATTCATTCATTCTGTATACAGTGTTTGTCTCTATGTGTGCCTGCACTGCAAGCCAGAAGAGGGCAACAGATCTCATTATTGTGAGACACCATGTGGTTGCTGGGAATTGTACTCAGGACCTCAGGAAGCACAGCCAATCTCTAAACTGCTGAGCCATTTCTCCAGCTCATCTTTATTTCTTGAGCTGTGAGTGTGTGTGTGTGTGTGTGTGTGTGTGTGAGCGTGTGTGTGTGTGTGTGTGTTTACAAACTGCCATACACATATATAAGCCTGAAACTCAGGTTCTCAGGCTCAGTGGCAGGCACCTTTAACTGATGAGACATCTTGAGTCATAAGATTCTTAAAAACACTACAGTAATTCGATTAAAATACAAATGATATATCTGGTTACATTTTTCTTCTATTTCTTTTTGTTGTTGTTTAGGTTTTTTTGTTTGTTTGTTTTTGTTTTTTCGAGACAGGGTTTCTCTGTAGCTTTGGAGCCTGTCCTGGAACTAGACCAGGCTGGCCTCAAACTCACAGAGATCTGCCTACCCCTGCCTCCTGAGTGCTAGGATTAAAGGCGTGCGCCACCACCGCCCGGCCCTGGTTAAATTTTTCTTGCAAACATTCCATCATTTGACCAAGAAAAATGACTTTCAAGTGTTGCAGTTCTAGAGAATGCCTGAATTTACCACTGAGGCATTCTGCTGTAGGACGACACCTCTTCCTGATGGTAAGGAAGAGACCAAGCTCACGCCTATCTACCTACCTCTCAAACCAATCTTTACTGCATATAGTGAAGAACACTTTTGGACCCAGCACTTGGAATTAAAGGGTCTCTGAGATGTAGTCAAGCCTGGTCTACATACTGAGACCCTGTCTCAAACAAACAAACAAGAAAATAACAAACTCACACGAAACCAATTTTTACACCCCCCACCCCCCAGGGTTTCTCTGTAGCTTTGGAGCCTGTCCTGGAACTAGCTTTTATAAACCAGGCTAGCCTTGAACTCACAGAAATCTGCCTGCCTGTGCCTCCTGAGTGCTGGGATTAAAGGTGTATGCCACCACTGCCTGGCTCAAAACCAATTTTTGAATGTTTTGAAGTCTAGGTTTTTCTCTATCTCCCTTCCCTCTCTCTCCTCTTTCTTTCCTCCATCCTTCCTTTCCTTCTCTCTCTTCTTCCTCTTTGTTTTTCTTGAGGGTTTCTTATTACATAGCCCCAGGATAACCCCTAAATTACTCATATTCCAGTTGTCCTCACACCCAGAATCTTCCTCCTTAGCTTTCCTATTGCTTGAGTTACAGACAACAATCTACAAGTTTGGCTTGAAGATACTTTCTTTTAGTCCCAAATGCTGGAACTAAACTCAGGCACCACCACTCCAGAAGATTTCTTATGTATGGTAAGACATAGTCTTTAGCAAGTGTGTGTATGTGTGCACGCACACACACACTCAATTATCTACTGCATGTTCTTCAGAACTGAGTCATATAAGAGCTGTTGCTGTGTAATCAATCACCCAGCACTGTGGAGCATCGCCAGCTAAACACAGTTCTTCCCTGGTAACTTCATGGTCAACAGAGGCAGGAGCCTCCCAGGAGCTGGATCCAGAGGACGACCCACATCTTGGCACTCAGTAAGTGCTGTTATGCCTTAAGGATCAGTGCATCAGTCTTTCCTCATAGTTTTTTCAGAGACTGGGGGTTGGAGTGTCCTGTAATAGTTCAGGACGGCGAGGAGTAACCCCAGTGTTGAGCAGGGGCTCATGGGATTTAAAAAGTAAAAAGTTGCCATCATTTTGTCGCCCAAATCTGGAAGTTGCAATTGATCCAGTAGATGGCGCCTCACACTCGCTTATCACTCCAGTTTCTTTTGTTACTAACTCAAGCAATTTTTCCCTCGCAGGCTTTAAAATAATGTGGCATCGTTAATTGTTCTCACTCCCTTAGGAAAAAGGAGCCGAAGTACTGGTAGTTGTGGAGCAGGAGGTCGACAGGATAGGAAACCCTGGCGTTCTCACGGGCGAGCCTTACTGTCGTTTCACGTGAGAATAAGAACTAAACAGCGGGCATGGAACGAAGCGAGGTAGTGAGGAGTTGGAGTGAGCCTCCTGGTACGGGATGAGCGCATCACACCCGCCAGGCTCAGAGAACTTCTGGAGGAAAGGGGAAGAATTTTAGAGCCAGCGGAAAAGGAAGGTGCTTTAAAAAGTCTCCCAGGAATGCATGGCCATTGTTCTCAGGGCAGCTGTGGTACCTCCGCAGGACTGAGTCCATCAACTTTTCAACGTGGGTGAGAGAGGGCCTCATGAAGGCCCACCCCTCCCTGCGGGCTACCGACAGTTAATGGTTGCTGGGGGAGGGAATGTTATTTGCTTCAGTGGTCTAACCATTGAAAAGTTGCTCCAGAAAATAACCTTACCCCCATGGCCGTTATAAGCAACCCTAATTTAACCCAGTGCATCAGCCATCACGAAACACACATGACAGTAGGAAGGGACTTCTCGGAAAGAAAGAAGGGTTTTGGTAGAAGAGGAAGTGGGGATGAGAGAGGGTAATGAGGGAGACAATGGCTAAAATTTATTTAATACATGTAAGAAACTATCCAAGGATAAATTTTATCATTATTATTATTATTATTATTATTGGGTTTTTCGAGACAGGGTTTCTCTGTGTTGCTTGGAGTTTGTCTTGGAACTAGTTCTTGTAGACCAGGCTGGCCTCGAACTCACAGAGATCTGCCTGCCTCTGCCTCCTGAGTTCTGGGGATTAAAGGTGTGCACCACCACTGCCCGGCCAATAAATATTTTTTTAAATGAACTTCCAATTTATTTTTTCCATTCTTGATTTTTATGTTTTTTAAACTAATTAATCATTTATATTTTATATGTGAGTGATGTGCACTGCATGAATGCCTGGTACCCCGGGGAGTCCAGATCCCCTGGAACTGGAGATACAGCCATCTGGTGTAAGCTGCCATCTGGGTGCTGAGAACTGAACCCTGCTTCTCTGCTGAGAAAGTAAGTGTTCTTAACTGCTGGGCCATCTCTCCAGTCCTAGGTTTTTCCATTGTATTATAGTTTTCAAAACACCTGAAGCTTTTCCTTTATTGGAAATAACTCACCTGGAGCTGAGAGATGACTCAACAGCTAAGAATCCAGGCTGCTCTTCCAGAGGACCCAGGTTTGATTTCAGCACCTATATGATTTATCACAACCATCTGTAACTACAATTGGAGGGGATTCAGTACCATCTTCTGGCCTCAGTAGGTACTGAACACATGTGCACAGGCAAAACACCCCTACATATAAAATACAAATAAAAAGCTTTTTATTTATGTGCTTTTGTTTTTGAGACAGGGCTGACTATGTAGCCCAGGCTAGCCTTAAGCTCACAACCTCCTGTTGGGATTGATTACAGATGTCTCCCCATAGCGAATTCCCTCATGGCCCCAACCTTTGGTGTGACTTCGATGCCTTTGATGCCTGGTGAAGCTTAGGAGCGCTTCCAAAAATCACTAAATTTATTTATTTTATGGGTCTGAGTGTTTTGCCTATGTGTATGTAAGTGTGCCCTGTGCACACCTGATGCTGAAGGAGTTCAGAAGATTGTACTGCATCCCCTGGAACTGGAACTGGGGTTATAGACAAAGCAGGGCTGTCATGTGGATGCTAGGAACCATTTCTCCAGTCCCAGAAAACTGCTCTCTCTCTCTCTCTCTTTCTCTCTTTCTCTCTCTCTCTCTCTCTCTCTCTCTCTCTCTCTCTCTCTCTCTCTCTCTNCTCTCTCTCTCTCTCTCTTTCTCTCTCTCTCTCTCTCTCTCTCTCTCTCTCTCTCTCTCTCTCTCTCTCTCTCTCTCTCCCCTCCTTTCTTTTTTCAGTGAGAGTCTCTCCCTTAAAATATAAGGTTGAGATTAATTAATCAAGAAAAATATCTCCGGGTCTTTCAGGATGAGGCACCTCAACATTATCGTAGATTCAGAAGGGATTTCGTGAAGGAACAACACCTAAACCCAAGAGGGCAGCTGCTGTCGCATCCAGTTCATCTTGAGGATTTCAAGCAGTCGTAAAATAATGTTCTGGTTTCAAAAACTTAAAACAACAGCAACAATCCCCGAATGAGAGCTCATTAAATAACCGAAACTTACCTCAGAGCTAGGTCACTTCATGTTCCAGATCACCCAGAACATGTGAGCTGTAGTTATAGTCTTTGTGCTGTTTTTTACTTTGTAAGAAATTAAATCCACTACATTTTCTGAGTCCTAGAAAGCTCTTTTATCTGCCTTTTCTTCATCTGTGAGGTCATAACGATTCGAAAGTGCTTTTCAAATATTTTCTTTCATTCCCAATACCATAAAGAAACGCCCTTCCATGATGAGACTAATGGTGCTAGATAAAATCAGTAAATCCATCGAAGCAGATGAAATATTCAATCGTTTCCGTCCTGTAAATTATATCTTCACGTTACGTTAATTAGTGGAAACCCTACAGGGGGGATTAAAAAAAATAGCTACCGACGAGGATGGGATTCGAACCCACGCGTGCAGAGCACAATGGATTAGCAGTCCATCGCCTTAACCACTCGGCCACCTCGTCCCAGAAGCTTAGGTCTTCCTGGCAGCTATAGGGAGCAGTATCAGCGGGCTGTGACGCAATATCATGGAAGCCGCCATTTCGTACGGAAGCCAACGGCCCGACTGTTTGCAGAGCAGACAATCGAAAGAAGGTGCCGTTCTCAGAATAAGAGGTCTATATTTGATAGAGGCGAAGAAAATTCTGTAGGAAGCGAGAAAAACTTGAGGAAACTTAAGTCGGCGCTGAGGATGACAGAAACATTTCGAGACGTCTTAGGGGCGGGGCCGTTCTGGTGTGCGGCAGTGCGCCTGCGCGTCGCTCTGGCGGTTAGATTTGAATACTTCCTAGAGCGGTGACGTCTGGTCCTTAGGAGCGCGCGGAGCTGGTCGAGGCGAGCAGACGGACTGCGGCGGGTAAGAAAGCGCCGTGGATGCGTCCCGGCCTCCTTCCTGAGCGGGCTTGGGTTGGGTCTGAGCGCTGAGGGTCGCTCCGTCAGCCCGTGCCCCGCGGGGAACGCGCGAGCCCCAACGGCCGGCCCCTCCATCGCCGGGACCGCCCCGCCGCGTTCCCGGTCCCCCGCCCTAACGCCGCGGCCTCCCGCGGGTTCCTAGTCCGGGCCCGCCCCACCCGCCGTGTTCGTCGGGGTTCCCTCTTCTCGTACCCCTGCCTCTCCTCCTCCGCGGTCTTCTGTGCTGTGTGTTTCTGACCGAAATTCCCCCACGTTCCCGGCTGCAGTGCTTTGAAGGCAGTGAGTGGATTTTAAGTTGTAAGCTTGTCTGAGCACAATAATAAAGTCCCGGGTTTCTGCGGGTCCAACATTAATAAAGTCAATATTCGTGTGGCACAAATTAGATTATAACACAACCTTTCCTTCCTCGGGCTCTGGATTTAAGCCCCTTGGGTGTGGAAAAAATATTGCCGACTGGACTTTTAAAAATGTATTGACGTATTCGAGGCCAGCCTGGTCTACAAGTCTACAAGTGCTAGTTCCAGGACAGGCTCCAAAGCTACGGAGAAACCCTGTCTCGAAAAACCAAAAAAAAAAAAAAAAAAAAAAAGTTTTCAATAAGGATGGCCACCATAGGATCATATATTCAAATGTCTAGTCACTAGAGAGTGGCACTAATGGAAAGGATTGGGAAAATGAGGAGATGTGGCTGCTTGGAGATGTGCCATTGGGGATGAGCTTTGAGCTTTCAAAAGCTCATGCCAAGCCTAGGCTCTCAGCTCCTTTTCCAGCACCGTGTGTCTGCCTTGTCTGCTGTCATGTTCCACTGTGTAAGTCTCTGAGACGGTAAGCCAGCCCTCTATTAAATGCCTCCTTTTAAAAGAGTTGCTGTGGTCATGGTGTCTTCACAGCAATAGAACAGTGGCCAAGACAGAAGTTAACAGAAGTAAAGGTTGTGGCTAAAAACCCGAAGCAGCGTTTATTCTAGACACTAAAGGTTGAAGTTAGTTTTCACTTCCGTTGAATGGTTTAGTTCGGTTTCTTCTGTGTTCAATGACTAAAGTAGACTTCATGGAGATGGCATTTCATTGGTCATATTGTTGGAATGGATGTTAGAGATATGAAAGGGAAATAGGTTGTAAGATTTTGGTCATTAAAGGTTAGGTTCAAGCAATGTCCCTCTTGCCTATGTGAATGGCCGGAAAGCTTTATACGATGATAAAGACGTGTAAAAGGAGTAAAAATGTAGCAGTGGAGATAGACATGATGTGCTTGATGCCGAGAGAACAAGAAGAGGCACTCTAGATACTGGATGGGATGAGCCTTTTCAATAGAATTTTCTGTGATAATGGTAATGTTTTATATATGCACTGTCCAACATGCTATCCATTAGCAACCATTTTTTGAGCACTTAAAGTGTAGTTATGGTTACAAAGAAATGTAGTTATGGTTACCAAAAATGCTTCATTTTAATTTCAGTATAGATAACTATTTGACAGCATAGATCTAGGATCGATCAATGAAGATTGTGGAAAATATTTACTGTAGATTTTGGTTGTATTAATTTAGGAGTGAACAAGGAGCCAGATAGGCTTTGCTGGCTGTAGGTCACTGTGATATTCTCTGCCACATAATGTTTTGTTGTTGTTTATTTTCTTCAATTAAAAAAATTCCTTCAAGACTGTTTTGAATGTGTTTGCAGATTCCTGAATTATTTAGACTAGTGATTCTCAAACATTTTGGTTCAAACAGTCCAAAAGAAATACCAAACAGTTCCATTTATTATATAGCTAGGTTCAATCAACTTAATGAGTATATCTTAACAACTTAGTAGCCATTTGATAAATATAAATTGAAGTTAAATAATTTTTTCTTAATTAGTCAAATTGTTAATTATATAAGTTTGCCCCTTGAACATGTACCACTTTGATTAAAACAAAAAACCCTAGCTTTTATTCATACCAGTTGCTGAAACTTCCCAATGATGTGTTATTATAATTGACAGTAATGTAGCTAGGTCCTTGTAGGAGCCTGCTCCTGCGATCAGCTAGGGTTCCTGGAGAGGGGATCCTCAAGGCCAAAGAAAGGTCAGATGAAAGAAGGTGAGACAGAAGACAGGATAGATTTGGTAGGTCTGTTTGGCAGCCGGTTGGTCAAACCAAACAGCCCAGAGTTTGTTTCAGAACTTGCTTATATACAAAAGCAGAACAAAGCACAGCACAGACGGTCGGTCAGTCTCTGACCACAAGACCATTCCTGTCCTTGAGTGAGCAGCCTCCTCTCCAACAGGCACTTGCTGATCGAAGCAGCCTTGCTTTCTATCTTGTGTTCCTGGGGTTTGGCATCAGCAGTATACTGTCTACTAGATAGAGTGTTCTTTTCTCATGGGCTTAAATCAGAAGGCTCTCACAGCCCTCAAAGTTATTGGAAAAAGCAGAGCAAGCAAGCTTGAATTCAAATGACTTATAAAGTCAGAATGGACTCCACATGGAAACTGAATCACACATGGGCTCCCACAGGTACTATTTTGAATGAGTAGTTCACACAGTGCCTGATAGATTTCAAGAATGGCTGTTTAAAAAGCAAATAATATCCAAACCCTTCTGTAAGTAAACCCCTAAATGCCAAATGCAGTTTTGGAACCAATCACCAATCGGTATGAATGTGACAAAAAAGCATTTTATATGTGAACCTTATTGCAGTAGGCTTGGCCTATTTCTGTTAAGGGTGTAGCATATGGGTTATATCATATAATACACATTTAATAGAATTAGAGACATCCAGTATCCTCCCACACACCTTTGGTTTTTCAAGTTCCGGTAAGTTTTGACTCTCATCAGTTAAATGCCAATTAGTCCACACGTTGGAGAAGAATGAGTCTCAAAGACTTTCAAACAACAGTATTTAGGTTACCTTAGGTTAATATTGCCAAGTATTTTTATCTGTTTTGAGTACAGAACTTGAAACTATTCCTATAGAACAGTGGGTCTCAACCTTTCTAATGCTGTGACCTTTTAATCAGTTCCTCATGTTGTGGTGACTCCCAACCATAAAATTATTTTTGTTGCAACTGAGCAAGGTGGCATATATCTTTAATTCCAGCAGAGGCAGGTTTGGGCCAGCCTGGACTACAGAGCTAATTCTAGGACAGCCGGGTTACATAGGGAAATGCTGTCTCAAAAATCAAAAAAAAAAAGGTTTTCATTGCTATTTATAACTGTAATTTTGCTACTGTTATGAATGATAATGTAAAAAATCATAGTGTAAATCATAAAATAAATACCTGGTATGCCACCCCTGTGAAAGAGTCATGACCCACAGTTTTAGTTAGTAGTCCCATGTTTCTTCCAGAAACCTAGCCAGAAAGTCAAGCTAGGTCAGAGTCACCAAATGCAAGGTGGAGGGAGAGTCCCTGCTTTCTCCGCTATGCCACAGACACAAATTTAAAAAAAAAAAGAGGAGAGAAAAAAGTATAACATGGTACTTAAACTAGCCTAAAAATCCCTTGTGTTTTAGAACTCACAATGTGGTTTTTGCTTCTTATTTTTGGTATTTACAAAATAACTCTAAAGTCTCACCCATGTTCTCAATCTCCCATAGATTATAATTTTTCTTATCTTTCTTACTTGTTAATACTATCTATTTTTTTACAGAAAAAAAGTTTTCAAAAATGGATGGGATGTCTTCAGAGGCTAACGAAGAGAAGTAAGTTCATTTGGTACTGCTAAAATGTTTTCTATTGCAGAAAGGTTCTTTTCAGACTAGTTAAGCACTATCGGTGACATTTGAAATTGTTTTCTATTTTGTTTCAAGTAAAAGTCAGTGTTAAAAAGTGATAGCCCTTCTGCCATATCTTTGTAAAAGTTCACTTAGAGTTAGAACTGAGGACTTGAAGGACTTTAATAGATACCACCTTTGGTCTCATTAAGGCCTTAGGAGATGAAATGATTTCTCTAAAATTAGCATCATAGCTAGGCAGTGGTGGTGCACACCTTTCCCAGTCCATGGGAGGCAGAGTCAGGTGGGTCTCTGTGAGTTCAAAGCCAGCCTGATCTACAAGAGCTAGTTCCAGGTCAGTTAGGACTGTTATGCAGAGAAACCCTGTCTCAAGAAACAAAACAAAAAAATAGAATCATAAACTAGTGATCTGTTTGCAGCTTAAAAATAATGTTTTTTGAGACAGTTTCACTATGAAGTTCCTGACTGGCCTGAAACTCAGAGATTCATCTGCCTCTGCCTCCAAAGTATTAATATTAAAGCCATGTGCCACAACCACCTGGCTCTAATTTTTAACTTATAACATGATACTTAATTTTTCAATTAATTGACCAAATTGCAAAAAAAAAAAAAATCTCATGATTTCATACAGTAATTAGATTTTCAGTTTTTCTTTAAAAATCAAGTATGGGGCCTGGAGAGATGGTTCAGCGGTTAAGAGCATTGCCTGCTCTTCCAAAGGTCCTGAGTTCAATTCCCAGCAACCACAATGGTGGCTCACAACCATCTGTAATGGGGTCTGGTGCCCTCTTCTGGCCTTCAGGCATACACGCAGAAAGAATATTGTATACATAATAAATAAATAAATATTTAAAATCAAGTATGGTAACAAAACTCACTTTCTTCCTTGGAACAGCTAGTTAGTAGAACTCCGGACAGGCTCCTAAACCACAGAGAAACCCTGTCTCGAAAAACCAAAAAAAAAAAAAAAAA